TCCGGATTTTGCTGCCAGAGACGTCGGCAAACAATTTTGTAAGACCAAACGTCATTTTGTGATAATATTCTTCCTTTGCCCGAAAAGCAGTAATACCAATTGAAAAGAAGCAAGCATCGTAGCCCTTCAACTCCTCCTTAATGGAATCCAATTCGAACATATCCGTCAATAAATTTCCTTCACCTTCGGATGGTTAAAACCAATGCTCTTTCGGTTGATTATTAACACTTCTTCCACTCTACTGTCTTTGACGCATTGCAGCAATGCTCCTTTTCCCATTAAGCCAGATGATCCTGTAATCACTACTTTCATACCTTTCTGTTTGAACACCATCAATCTAAGTAATGATAGATATAACATTGTACTAAAATCATGTAATTTTGATAAAAATTAAAATTACAAAGACACAAGTTCAATATTTACCGGCTTTGTAAATCAAAATGAAGGTAATCTTAACGAAATATGGCAGGGAGGAAGCACCATCTCATGTTAAAGCGCCATCTGTAGTTTGTTAAATATTAATAAACAAGCATAATTGTCCTACTTTTGCAACTTTGTTCTGCTCTATATGCAACAGAGTAATAGTAGTAGTATAGCAGCTGACACAGAGGTTTTCTATAATAGCTGAAAGCATGACATTCAGGTTGATAAACAACATTATTTGCTGCCACAAAACTTTTTTCTAGCAGCTGATTTGAATTCTTTGCGTTCTATTTTTATAAATTAATTATATTTTAATAATATTTGTTCATATTTATTGTATTTATTCAACAAAGATATGAGAGATCTTGTGACCAAGAAATATAAAAAAGTAAGAAAGTTATAAGCAATAGGCAGAATCTAGACTAGCATAAAGCATCTTTAGCTGATGAGGCTAGATTCTCACTAAGATGACTTCAGGATGTGGACAAATGATGGTGAAAAAGACTTTAGGGCGACGAAAAATATGGGCAGGGATGGAGTAATGGTTCGGAGACTAATAACCTCTGATGGGTTATTCAAAGTAGGGAGGATAAGGAAACAGCTTGTGCTGACAAACATAGCTGCTGATATTATGTTCATTTGGTTATGAAATTAATTAATTATTTATTAATTAAATATATCAGTCATTTTCTTCGATATTGTCTATAATTTCGGAAGGGGAGGGGTTTTCTATAATTTTGAGGACGTTTTCTGTCCTTTTGGAACCATTTTCTGTCATCTTCAAACTTCTTGCGATAACTAGTGAAGGTTCTTAGAGTTGTTCTTGTCCCATTCTGAAGGTTGAGGTTTGATCCAGAAAGACTAAACCTTGGAAAGTCTAGATGGACTGGAAAATTAATAAATTTAAGGTTACAGAGCTTTAAACCAAGAGAATTTAGGGGACATTCCCAAATTTTGAATATTCCTCCATCCAGCTTTATATCTTTAAATAGAATAAATCTTTCATTTTGGCAGCCATGTTTTAAAATATATTCAATCTCAGTAGTAAGTTTCTCATTGAAATCACAAAAACGTAAATCTAGTTTCTTCAAAGTGTCCAATGACATTTGAAGTCCTTCACAAATATTCTTCACTCCACCACCCAATTCTTTATTCTCGCATAGAATAATGGATTCAATATGGGAGCAATGCTGTAGCAAATTTCCAAAATCTGTCTACTTTGTTTTTCATTTAAATTACAAGAATGAAAAGTTAAATTTTCAAAGTGCTTGATGACATTCGAAGTCCTCGACAAATATCCGCTTTTCCTTTACCTATTTTTCTATTGCCAGTTAGATTTGTTTTTTCAACCATTTTATAATTGCTCATCAAATCTAGGAGTTGAAATAGGTCTCTATCAATCAAAGGGCAAGTTTTCAAAAAGATACATTCACGAGATCAGGAATCTATTCCCTAACATCTCTTTCTGCTCAACCTTTCGTTGAGTTCAATTTTCAAACTGTAGCCGTAAGTAGTGAATATGGGTTGGAAACATCCTGGTCAGGCTTTATGTATGAAGGAAACAATGTATTCTTTGTTGGTAGAAACTCTCCTTTTTTAGAAACAGGATACCAAATACCATTTACTCAAATTGTTGCACTGAGGGGTGCTGCTCTAATCATGCAGAATAGAGAGATTCAAGTCTTTTCAACTGGATGGTATTATGTTAATTTTGGCATTGGATTTTTAGGTAGATTATCTTGTTTGGTAAGCCTCGTGAAAAATGTAGAATCTAGATCTTTTGAAAGATCTATAGCAAAAAACCACATAGATTCAATAGCCACTCAAGCATCTAGAGGAATTATTGTTAAATTGAATGAAAATGACAGGATATCATTAAAATTGCATGCTGGTGCATCAACATCAAGTAAAATGTCTACTTACATATCTGGATTTAAATTAAATTTAACTGTGGAAAGGCCAGCATTCTATGCCTATAGAACTGACAATGTGCTAGGATCATCAAGGGTAAAGATAGCCTATGATGCATGTGTCATTGACACTAATTCTGGTTGGAATTCCTCAGAAAATGTTTTAACTAGTGGATTTAATTCAATGCTTGAAAAGAAATTGATATTTGAAAAGCACCATCAAAAGTTCTCTAAAAACTTTTATTTTGATGTATTATCCACTTAAGCTTTGGTAAAAGACAGAATAAATAATCAACTCCACTGGTATTTAAAATACAATTTAATCATGCAACAGTACATAATGCCAAATTATAAAGGAGAAATGTAAAACAAAGCCAATGATGTAAATTAGTACTTGTCTCTACCGATACTCTATCATTAACTTGCAATTTTAATAAACCTGCCCTGCTCATTGTTTCATAGCCTGGTCTTGGTCTTGCTCTTCTCATACCCAATCTTTGTTCATTGTTCACCATAATATATATTATTGATTGTGAATTTGGCCATGTGCCAACAGACACATCAATATAATATAAACCGGAAATTGCAACGTTAAAACATTTTCTGAGGAATTCCAACCAGAATTAGTGTCAATGACACATGCATCATAGGCTATCTTTACCCTTGATGATCCTAGCACATTGTCAGTTCTATAGGCATAGAATGCTGGCCTTTCCACAGTTAAATTTAATTTAAATCCAGATATGTAAGTAGACATTTTACTTGATGTTGATGCACCAGCATGCAATTTTAATGATATCCTGTCATTTTCATTCAATTTAACAATAATTCCTCTAGATGCTTGAGTGGCTATTGAATCTATGTGGTTTTTTGCTATAGATCTTTCAAAAGATCTAGATTCTACATTTTTCACGAGGCTTACCAAACAAGATAATCTACCTAAAAATCCAATGCCAAAATTAACATAATACCATCCAGTTGAAAAGACTTGAATCTCTCTATTCTGCATGATTAGAGCAGCACCCCTCAGTGCAACAATTTGAGTAAATGGTATTTGGTATCCTGTTTCTAAAAAAGGAGAGTTTCTACCAACAAAGAATACATTGTTTCCTTCATACATAAAGCCTGACCAGGATGTTTCCAACCCATATTCACTACTTACGGCTACAGTTTGAAAATTGAACTCAACGAAAGGTTGAGCAGAAAGAGATGTTAGGGAATAGATTCCTGATCTCGTGAATGTATCTTTTTGAAAACTTGCCCTTTGATTGATAGAGACCTATTTCAACTCCTAGATTTGATGAGCAATTATAAAATGGTTGAAAAAACAAATCTAACTGGCAATAGAAAAATAGGTAAAGGAAAAGCGGATATTTGTCGAGGACTTCGAATGTCATCAAGCACTTTGAAAATTTAACTTTTCATTCTTGTAATTTAAATGAAAAACAAAGTAGACAGATTTTGGAAATTTGCTACAGCATTGCTCCCATATTGAATCCATTATTCTATGCGAGAATAAAGAATTGGGTGGTGGAGTGAAGAATATTTGTGAAGGACTTCAAATGTCATTGGACACTTTGAAGAAACTAGATTTACGTTTTTGTGATTTCAATGAGAAACTTACTACTGAGATTGAATATATTTTAAAACATGGCTGCCAAAATGAAAGATTTATTCTATTTAAAGATATAAAGCTGGATGGAGGAATATTCAAAATTTGGGAATGTCCCCTAAATTCTCTTGGTTTAAAGCTCTGTAACCTTAAATTTATTAATTTTCCAGTCCATCTAGACTTTCCAAGGTTTAGTCTTTCTGGATCAAACCTCAACCTTCAGAATGGGACAAGAACAACTCTAAGAACCTTCACTAGTTATCGCAAGAAGTTTGAAGATGACAGAAAATGGTTCCAAAAGGACAGAAAACGTCCTCAAAATTATAGAAAACCCCTCCCCTTCCGAAATTATAGACAATATCGAAGAAAATGACTGATATATTTAATTAATAAATAATTAATTAATTTCATAACCAAATGAACATAATATCAGCAGCTATGTTTGTCAGCACAAGCTGTTTCCTTATCCTCCCTACTTTGAATAACCCATCAGAGGTTATTAGTCTCCGAACCATTACTCCATCCCTGCCCATATTTTTCGTCGCCCTAAAGTCTTTTTCACCATCATTTGTCCACATCCTGAAGTCATCTTAGTGAGAATCTAGCCTCATCAGCTAAAGATGCTTTATGCTAGTCTAGATTCTGCCTATTGCTTATAACTTTCTTACTTTTTTATATTTCTTGGTCACAAGATCTCTCATATCTTTGTTGAATAAATACAATAAATATGAACAAATATTATTAAAATATAATTAATTTATAAAAATAGAACGCAAAGAATTCAAATCAGCTGCTAGAAAAAAGTTTTGTGGCAGCAAATAATGTTGTTTATCAACCTGAATGTCATGCTTTCAGCTATTATAGAAAACCTCTGTGTCAGCTGCTATACTACTACTATTACTCTGTTGCATATAGAGCAGAACAAAGTTGCAAAAGTAGGACAATTATGCTTGTTTATTAATATTTAACAAACTACAGATGGCGCTTTAACATGAGATGGTGCTTCCTCCCTGCCATATTTCGTTAAGATTACCTTCATTTTGATTTACAAAGCCGGTAAATATTGAACTTGTGTCTTTGTAATTTTAATTTTTATCAAAATTACATGATTTTAGTACAATGTTATATCTATCATTACTTAGATTGATGGTGTTCAAACAGAAAGGTATGAAAGTAGTGATTACAGGATCATCTGGCTTAATGGGAAAAGGAGCATTGCTGCAATGCGTCAAAGACAGTAGAGTGGAAGAAGTGTTAATAATCAACCGAAAGAGCATTGGTTTTAACCATCCGAAGGTGAAGGAAATTTTATTGACGGATATGTTCGAATTGGATTCCATTAAGGAGGAGTTGAAGGGCTACGATGCTTGCTTCTTTTCAATTGGTATTACTGCTTTTCGGGCAAAGGAAGAATATTATCACAAAATGACGTTTGGTCTTACAAAATTGTTTGCCGACGTTCTCTGGCAGCAAAATCCGGATCTGACGTTTTTATATATATCAGCAGAGGGCAGTGATCCTACAGAAAGTAGTGGGTCTTTTTGGAAAGATGCTAGGGGGAAAACTGAAAATTATATCATTCATTCTGGGAAAAAAGGATATGTTTTTCGTTTAGCAGTTATAAAACCGATAGGAGAGGTTAGTTCCAGAACATACGGAGCTGCAGAACCCGTTGTAAAAGTACTCTACCCAGTCTTAAGATGCCTTGCTCCAAATAAGGTAACCACCACCGAAAATATAGGAAAATCCTTCTTAAACATTGTCGAAAAGGGAAATGATATAAAGTTGCTTCAATCAAGAGCAATAAATGCGCTGGCAGCTCAATAAGGCCTAGAATTACGGATAAGTGGCATTTCTCTTGAATGGTTTTTAATGGCTAGATTTTGATGAAAGTTTCCTAACCAATTATTACAAATAAATTACAACTTTTAATGATTTATTTCAATGCAGTCATTGCTGTTCTCACCTCACTGATAATAAACACTTCAAAACAAACAATACCAATCAACAATAAACTAAATTCCAACACACCAATCATTCTTTCACATTTCTCTTTCACAACATACGAAACTAGGACACAGAGGTCGCTGCGTATCATACTACAGATTCCATTTGTGTTTTCCTCTCTTACGTGTATAGGACCAAACAAAAAAAACAAACACAAGCAATTATTAGCTATAGGTCTTTGTAATCGCCACATAGACCTGTTTACTCCAAAGTAGATGTTGTATAAAGTCAAGGCCTAAAATACTCGGACACTATAAATTTTGATAGGCCAATTTTGAAAACACCCCAGAAATGTTATCTTTGTTTTCAATTGGTTTTTTTGTCTAAATTTCCATGAAGAAAGAGTTATATTTATGTAATACTGAAAAAAATTATAGAAAATTATCATATTGTGAAAATTATTAGCAAAATTTTTTTATTAATTTTTATTGTTTTTTTCTTTATTTGGCTGTAAGTCCAAATTAACCGTACATCCGGATTACATCCAGTTTTGCGTTTAAATAGACATCTTAAACTGATATTTTTTTCAACAAAATTAATTTTCCAAGTTAAGTTGATTACTTATTATCTATTTTACCTACTTTAGTTAATTTTTATATCATTTATTTCATTATGGCATGGGGAAAAGAGGTTAGGAACCTGGTAATCCAGAAATATGAAGAATTGGGGAAAGTAAGGGAAACTGCAAGGGCTTTGGGAATGGCATCATCTACAGTTAGCAACATTTTAAGGTATAAGCCACCCAAACAAGGGGTCGTCCAAAGAGACTCACAGAAAGAGATGTAGCAAGAATGAATAGGATTGTGAAGAGACTTAAAAGAAACAAGGAAAGGGTAACTGCTAGGAAGATTTTAAATGAATTAGAGGTAGATGTAGGCCTGAAGACAATTCAGAGAGAGTTGAAATTGCAAAATTTTTGTTATAAACGAATTCGACAAAGAGTTGATCTCACAAGCAATGACTGCAAAAGAAGGAAACAGTATTGTTTAAAAACTATTCGAGATAACTTAGATTGGTCAAGAGTCATATTTACGGATGAGGCAAGGTTTTCATTGAGTGGTCCTGACAACTTCAGGACCTGGACAAATGACAGGGTAAAAGAGATGAGATTAACAAAAAATATGGGCAGAGGTGGAGTAATGGTTTGGGACTGATAACCTCGGATGGTGTGTTTGAGGTATGGAGAGTAAGCAAAAGATTGAATGCCCAAAACTATGCTACATTTGTGGTCGAAGATGTTCTCCCAGTTATAGAAGAAATCTCAGATAAAATGGGGAGAGATTATATCTTCCAGCAGGATAATGCTGGGTGCCATACTGCAAGAGTTACCAGCAGGGCATTCAGGATGAACGGCATACATTCAATTGATTGGCCAGCTAAGAGCCCTGATCTTAGCCCAATAGAAAATGTGTGGCACCTGACCAAAAATTTGGTTTACAATGGGGCACAATTCACATCAGAAGATGAACTATGGGAGAAAATTAAAAACTGTTCCTACAAACTTATAAACAAAAATCCTGACTTGCTACCAAATCTGTATGCTGGAATGGGGGGTAGGATCATTACGTGCATTGAGAAAGAAGGTCACCAAATACAGAAGTAGTAAAAATATTAGTCCCCAGACCATTGTCCAGAATAATGTGACTCACAGCCAAATAAGAAAAAAACTTATGAAAATATACACTATATAAAAATGAAAAAAATTATGTAAAAACTTATCTAAATACTATTTGATAGAAATTTCTATGTAGATCCAAGTTTCGCCTAATATTTCATTGCTAAAAAATAGAAAAAAAAATCTTTTTTGATCAAGAAAAAGATTTTTAATCTTTGGCCTATCAAAATTTACGGTGTCCGCGGTATTTTAGACCTTCACTTTATAACTAGAGTTAATTTTTTTATGAAGTCTTAAGTTTTTATTATTCAATAAATGTGACAATAATTTTATATTCTTTTTAAAATTTATATTTTAGAAGTTCATTATACTATTCATTTTAACATTCCTTTAAACTACTCACCCAGATTAAAGCATTTATCTTGATTTTCATCACTTAAATCTATACATTTGATAAATTTATCACATAATTCCCATTTTTGTACACATTCAACTGCATTTACAAGAGAGAAAAATATCTCAAGAACAAATACAAGCCAAATTTACATGCCAGTGTCACTGTTCTATACTTGGACCAGAGATTGATGTATAAATTCAATTAGGAAAATAACCCAATAAGTTACCAACTGTACCTGGAACCTTTAAAATTGTCAATCAGCCATTCAAGTNAAATTCTTCCATATTGAAAACCAAAAGTATGGCATAAATTCATTATATTTCGGAATCTTAGTGATTCATAAGATGGCTGATACCAAATATTTTTGTAAAATATTTGTAAATTTCCAATAAAATTAGTATAATTATGATTTTCCCCAAAATCTAAAATATTTGGTTCAGTGTTGAAAATTCTGTATTGATAATCTATATAAACAAATATAATAATAATAATACTCTATCTATATATCAAAATTAGAGAAACAAGTAAAACCTGTGAAGTTTTTCTCTTCACACCTTACTGCTAATCCATAAAAACCAGAGCCACGAAGCATTGTTTCACAGCTGCCCAAATCATTTATAGATAGACTGCAATCTTTTAAACTATACAATACATTTTTTTGTTTCAGAAGATTAACATCAGAGCAAATTTCAGGTGACTATAAAATTCAAAGGATATATCAATATTTACGTAATTACCATTTGATATGTAATTACTGTATCCGGTACTGGGAAAACTTGAAATATAGGATTGAGTATTTTATTTTGATGCCAACACACAAGTAAAGCTACTTTTTCAATATTTTCAGAAAGGTCAAATCCTAAAGCAGTAGTACCAAATGATTTGGATTTTGCTATAAAAGTCGTGTCAGAATGAATCACATTTTTATAAAATATTTTATGCAAGAAATCTGGTGCTTGTTCAATCTTAAAATCTGAAATTTATGATAAAAACAATATTACCAAAGCTTCTACTATGATTTTTAAGAGTGATTTACCATTAATTTCTGGAAAAAAGCATGTAAATCGTTTAATATTCATGCTAGAGCTACTTCTTAGATTATATGTATAATTTTTATAGATTATAACTATATATTTAGCATTGTATGTAGTTGAATCTTTTGTGAAAAAGAGTACTTTTGTACATAAACTACTCTTCATTTCCATACTCTCTGGATACAATTTAAATGTTGTTTTCAATTTTCTCATGAATATTGTCAATTGCAATCTTTGAAAGTAAAAATCAATCAAATTTATCACACCAGCAAACATAACTGTAGGGGGTTTAAACAAATAATGATTTAAAATCCATGCTAAAATCATAACAAATTGAAATAATAGTTAATGGGATTGAGAGAAAATGTGTCAATAGATTCAAGTGTAAGATCAAATTTGGAGCATTTTAGGGGATTAGGAAAGTTAAATTTTAATTTGTTTCGGGTCATGTTGGGGTTGAAATGAAAACAATCTTGTTAACTATTGAGTACTGGTAAAGGTGAGACTTCAAAAAAGACAACATTTTCTCCCCAATCCAAAATTAACTTACAAGGTTCAGTATATTTGTAACATTTTAAACAAATAAGATTTTCACTACTTGTTAAAGAATCAATTGTATATCTATGGATATTACTCATTCAAAAAATATATTTTATTACATATTTTGTTTATATCGATGAGAAATTAGAAAAAAGTTGATATTTCAGACGAAAACTACTTTTGAAAAAGTGTTTAATGATAGAATTTATTCAATTCAGCAGTGAGTTATGAATTCCTTTAAGAATATTCTTAAAAATTTTTCTAATTTTAAAAAACAAAAAACTGTTTGCTCACTTACACTTGAATATCAAGTTTTTCTTTATGCCTGAGATAAACTGTTCCCCTTGTTCCTGAATGAAAATTTTTAGACTTTATAATCTATTGATTTAGCCAACAGTACATCCACGTATACAAAATGTAGTAAAACTGTACCTGAGTGTAACCCCCCTAATGATTATGGCTTCACCTGCTATCTATACATACCTTGATGTTGGCAGATTTGTGTAATACTGTGTATTTCATCGTAGTTCATTGAATTGCAAACATGATTCAAATTGTTTTCAAAAATATCAGATGAATATCCAATAGCTTCTGTCCAATTTTTGAAATTTAGTTTTAATATTCCATATATAGAATATTTGTCTTCTGTTAATGGTTTTATCAAAAATCTTGCTTGTTTCTCATTCAATAGACTTTTTGATAAAATATGTTTACTTGGGCATTTTTCCAGAGAAGTAATGATGAAAAAATGAAAGATAAAAATAGAGGACAGAGTTAGCATTATTCAAAAGATATTTCTTTATTAATTACATATTTTTAGATTTATATTTGCATAAAATAGAGATGGGCAATATTAGAAAATATGTTCATTAACAATCTTCATTTCATATCAAATTTTACATGTTTTTACTATCAAATTTCATGTTGTCTATTTTATAATAAAAGAAAACTTGGACAAAACGTCCAACAGTCATACAACTATTATATAATGAGAACTGGAGGGTGATTAATCAATTCATTGCCAACATTGGACAAATCAAGGAAGAGAATCTTACTGAATTCATCTGCTCTAGTTGTGATGTCCATGGACGGCGTAACCTTGGAATTTATGGAGAATTATCAAGTCCCTCTACAAAGAGTTATGAGTGGAGGTCTTGGGAACTATTAAAGATACCATTGTTTGCAATTAATTTTTTACCTTTTACTTTTAAATATATCAATTTTGTGGAATGTTCACAACAGTAGCCAATTAATATATTGGAAGGAACTTAGAATTGATCTAGGTTTTCATGTGGCACATGTTATAACAGTACTGATTGATTTAAACCTGGAATACCACGCGGCAGTACTAAAAATTCATAATATTTGCTTGTGAACAATTTTTGAAGTTCTTCACAAATCTTCAATTTTC